AAAGAAGACATAAAGCTTAAGAAGGGGGCAGATCTTCAATATCAGCAGCTGCCGCCTGGTCAGCACTCTTCTTGATGGACTCGGCTTCAGCTGCATCCTTCTTTGATGCATTACCCCCAAGCGGCACAAGCGCCACTACCGGCTGCTCCTCCTCCTCCAACGCGTCCTCCAACGCCTCTTCCTCAGCAGCCGCCAGGATCTCTTGATTATATCTATCAGAACACTGGCGGTACGTTTTTTCCCATGAGGCAAAGTCGGCATTGGGGAAGAGGCGGCCCCAAGTCATGCGCTGGATTTGAGCAGAGTCTTCCATCATCTCCCGGACCAGCTCTTTCTTTTCTTGCTCGGCCTTTCCGAGAGCTCCTGAGTAAGACTCTTCTCCTGGGTCACCAGGCGTACCTTTACGCTCGCCAAGGATTTCTCCAAGGTTTCGTATGAGGACATCTTTTGGCGAAGAGGTCTCAGCTCGGCCTTGAGGCTGTTGATGGTCGCCTCCAGCTCGCTATTCCTCTTCTGGGCCGCCTCTAACTGAGCCCGTATAGCGGCGGTAGCCTGCGCCTGATAATAAAGAATATCAATGGTCAAAACTTCATTTTGGGCAATTTGAAACATTGCCTTATCACAGTCAGAGGCGGCCATAGCTTTTGCAGCCTTTACCTCTTTGTTCTTCCGGTCAAGCGGCTTGCGAAGGCCGTTCACTCGGAGCAGGGCCTAAGTAAAAAGGGGAACAGGCGTCAGTTTCCAAACAAAAAAGGAAACAGGCGTCCTGGAATTCAAATACTCAAAAATATGCTAAGTATACCTCAGCAAGGACCCCTGCAATCCCGTCTAGGTCAAGGGTGCCGACACCCCTGACCGCCTCCCTTTCAGCTGGAGGAACAGCCTTGATCATAGACTTGGCCACCTCAACCAAGTCAGGCTCCTGAGGGCCAGCTGCATCAAGCATAAACAAACGGATTAGACCTAGTAAAGAAGGGAGCAAGTCTAAAATTTACAAGGACAATTTCATAATTCTAGGTGGCCCAGCTAGAGTTTTAGAAGAAGTGGCTGGCTGTTTCTCAACTGCCGCATGTTTCCTGGAAGAACCAGGAGAGCTCGCAACAGTCGTCCTCCGGGCCTTGGGGTCCGGCTGTTGGGAAGAAGAAGCTCTTGGAGCGCCCGTCTAAAAAAGAAGAAGTCAGTAAATGCATAAACACAACTCCAAAAAGAGGGTGAAAGGTTCGAAGCCCACCAAGGGTGCCCCCTTGTTGGGGGAGTCGGTTGAAGACTGTTGCATGATGGAGGCCCGCAACATGGCCGCCGCAGTCTTGGAGGCGGTAATTTTGCTCATAGCGTCCGCTGCAAAAACAAATAGCAAAGTTAATAAGTCATAACAAGAAATGCATGGAACAACAGAGTATTCGACAGGCCGGCTACCTCTTGAGCACCGACTGCTGAGGCCACAGGCGGCCAAAAAGTACTCGTCGTAGAGCCATTTGAAGCTCGGGACGCAATGCAGGGGTACTTGCTCTCGTACCCCTGAAGTAGAGTTCACCTTCGACTCTACTTTGAAGAGTCCTTTATCTAGGATCTCTTTCTTAGCCTTAGGGGGAACAGGCGGCATGCTGCGGCCGCCTGCAAGAAGGGGCGGATTCCTGTTCCACCTGTTGAAGCGCTTGTTCAGCTCTGTGTCTGAACTCTCAATGATGAGGAAGGTGCTCCGCCAGTCCTTCCATTTGTTTGCTTTACCTCTCGTCATGAGGTAGCCCCTGTGGCTCGTCAATTGATACCATCCGGTACCGCCTGCCTTAGGGGTCCGGCTGAGGTAGTTCATGTGGGCGAAAGCCTCGAAGCTCGGCTCCACCCCGTGCAGTTCGCACCCGGCCACATAGCCGAGTACGTTGACCCAGGAGTTCGGGGCTAACTGCCATAACCCCAACTCATACCCATCCAAGATCCGCTGAACAGCCGGATGTAGTGGGAAGCGCAGCCCAGCCTTGATGGCCGCCTCGTAGCAGCCAAAGCAGGCGCTATCATAACTGGTACCAGCCAGCCACACGACTGTGTCTTCTGGATCCGGCACAAACACTAAAAATCCGGGGCCCATTGTGTGGTTTGCGATAAAGCTCTCCACTTTCTCTTGCATGGCCGTGATCCGGCCCCGAGGTACCGTGCAATAGTAGAGGGTATTTTGCTCTCGGTAAGAGGCGGATGGCTCCGCCCAATCGTCCCCCTTCTCAACTGCGTGAGAAAGCCTCGCCTCTTGCAGGCGACTGTTTTTCTCTTCTGTGTCCAGAGAAGCATGGCCAGAAGAGATAGACTCGGAATCGTCCTCTGACGAGTCCGAAGAGGACGACTCTTCCCCTCTCCCGGAGGGGCCCGCCTCCTCTCCTTTAAAAGGAGCAGGAGAGAATGAAGAGTTGTCAACTGTAAAATGGGAAGGGGTCACTTTGACTCCTCCCTCAGAACTGCCGGCTTTCAAGCCGCTTTGTTTCACCTCCACATCTGGCGCCTGGTCAGATGTTTCACTAATCGGCACCCTGTGGGAGGAGCCGTCTGAGTTTGAGATCCTGGCAGTCTTTTTTGTCCTAGCCATCATGCTCTGCATAGACACAGATACAGTCGGACTTTGTATAAAGGGCAAAGATGGGTCCGGAAAAGGGCAGGCGGCACTCCTAGTCCTAGATTCAGCCGTCCCTGGTGACCGGCTGATCACTAACCTAGGTCGTGTCGTGTGCTTTCGTGGTGCCATTTCAAAAAAGAATAAAGTAAAGAGAAAATTAAGAGTAAGAGAACCGACAGTTACCTGAACGAGTGACGATTGATGAAGTTCTGAAAATCCTTTGCAGTCGGCTTGTCAGAGCAGGCGGTAGGCAGAAAGGGTCCAAAATGTCAGAGCAAGTTCAGGGGTCCGAATGTTCTCTCAAAAAGTTCTCAAGTGTGAAAATGACTGAAGTCAACACTCCCTTACATAGGCGAAGTGAGAAGGCGAAGGGTCACTTCCAGAATTCATAATTTGGGCGGGAGAATCTCTCGGCCTTTCGCCGAGTGACACTTGTAGCAGGCCGTCGCCTGTTACAGTGCGACACCTGTCACAGGTAACACGTGACCAGTCACGTGCCACCTGTGAGGGGCAAATGATTAGGGGATTTTGCTCCCACCAATCACCATCTGACAAGTGAACCAATTAGGTTCCGCCATGTGTCCGTCACATGGGCCAATAGGAGCCTGCCACGTGTCAAGCAATGATCCGTCCACCTTGGACCAATTACGACACGACACGTGTCCTTCCCATGACACCTGGGATAACCGGTCACCTAGGCCCAACTTCCGAGGGAAGCCCAATCAGCCCAAGGTTAACCTAAACCTAGATTGGCACGTTTCCCGAGGTTATAAATACCTCCCTTAATCCTCATTAAGGGGGAGGACATGCTGATCACGCTAAAAAAGCAGATTACCTACATTAAACACTCTCACCTAGAGAGACCCAATCACTTTAATTTCCGCATTAATTACTCCTTAATCAAGTACTAACTTGACCGTTGGAGGCGGAGCTCCCACCACCAGGAGTCTCCGTTGTTTTGCAGGTACAGGCGTCCGGTTCCAGTCTCGGAATTGTAACCCTCCCGCAGGACATCAGAAAACCCCGAAACAAAACGCATCTTTCCAGTGCGTTTCTGGCATTTGTAGGTGGCCACAACGTCAGGATCTGCCTTGTTACGGTTAGGGGAACTCATTTTGTAAGAGTTTTGGAAGAATTAGGGACAAGGACACCCAGATCTGCCAAAGTTAGGGTTTGGAATTGGAGAGAGAGTGAGAAAAGGGACGAACTATATGTGAGAAGAGAGAAAGTGCGAGAGTAATAAACGAAAACACAGAGTAATTCTGTGTTAGTGACAGAGGTGAACCCAGATGAACAGCCATCATTAATGGTGGTGGATGAGAGATTCATTGAATTGGGTAGTTGGGAAGATGAATAGGTCTTCAGAATTAAAATGGGATGGTGTAGGATATTTTTTGGTGGGAATGGTTATGTTAAATGGGTTGGGATTAACTAAAGTTAAGTACAATTAGACAATTGCTTAGAATATAATTTGTTTGTTTAAGGGACAAATTTGTAATTTCACATATTATAAAGTTACTAAATTTGGAAATAAATCAGTTTGTTGCAAATAATATAAAGCACCCCGATTTGATAAATGTTGCAGATAACTAAAAGCGGAGGTAGTATATCTACCTACCACGTATAATAACTATGAAGAACAATGTAAACATTAGAGCCTTTTATTTACACCTGAGTACACATAGAGGCAGGTGCCACCAAGGGTGGTTTTTTGCTCATTTGTTTTTTTTTTTTCCTTTTTTAGAGCCAAAAAAAAAAAAAAAAAAAAAAAAAAATAAGCAGAAAATATCCTTGGGTGGACCTTGCTCCCGGGTGCATAAATAAAATTAATCAACAAACAAAGGTAGTCTTTTTATTGACCTGGTGTATCTTTTGGTTCCACAGTACCACATTATACAGTTCTATGTTTGATCTTGGCTCTATGATTTACCCATTCTTGAGTTTCTGTTGATTGATTTTTCATTTTTCCTTCATAGTTAAGCAGGCAGTTGCATTTTCAATGCATTATTTATTAGATACTCCTTAAATTGTTTTTGCTTCATGGATAACTTATAGTGGTACTCTTCATCAGGGTTAGCATAGATATTAAAAATAATTGCTCAATGTCGAATAAATTTTGAAAGTGGGATATAGAGAAATCAAGAGATTGTGTTGGAAAAGAAGATTGTCAGGATAGTGTGAATTTTTTGAGGGATAAGCTATTTGTTAGTTTGTTACGGAGCAGAGACTAAGTATAATGATGTCTTCCTCTGATGATTAGTATACGTGTTGCTTTGTGATTTGATTACTTTTGCATGTTCTTCAAATAGTATACTTGTTATGCTTTGTGATTTAATTACTTTTGTCAAGTAGGCATCTCACTACTAGCATTATTCATATTGTACATCTGTTGACTACCTAACTTTTTGATTTTATTACTCTTTCTAGATAACCATGTCTGCAGTTAGGGAATGGGCTGCCTCTCAAGATGCTAAGCTTCTGCAGGTTTGATATTCTTTTGGCTTTTCTCATCTGTTGAATTACTTGAATACATAGAAATACAATGAGATTAGGTGAACTGATGTATATGATCATGACTGTCACTCTTCCTAGGCTGTTGCTGTAAATAATTTAGGCAAATGGAAAACTGCAACACAGATGACTGCACTTACTTTGATCTTGGCTACTCGAGACAGCAGGTATTTTCTTGCTTGAGTTGCTTCCATCTTATATATATATATATATATATATATATAGTGTATGTTCTAACTGTCATATTTCTGCAGTTTGTTGCCAGCCAAGGGGCTCTAGCAACTTCTGGTGTTGCTCTGCTCTATATATCAGCCGGGCTTGCAGTATGGTCACTAGTAGTATATATGAAGAAAATTTGGAAGGTGTTAATGAGATAAATAGTGATACGCTCAGAGCTTGCATTATGTGATTAATCATACGGCCCAGCCCTAGGTTGGCAATTAAATCAAGGTTGACAATCTCCAAGTCAGTGAGTTGTGCTATGGTCAAGATGCGGCATCGAAGTACAAAATACAACGGCAACAAGAAAGGAGGAAGTTTGAGTCAACAACAAGGGCAAGATGACAAAACTCATTAAGAAGGACTTGAGGAAAGCAAGCAACAAGCTTCTACAATGTCTAATTATGGTTTTGCCATTTTAGCTAATTAGTCACATGAATCTATCCTTAGTCTTAGAAGTCTTGAGTATAAGTAAGTTAGTAAGTTTGGCAATTAGGATTATCCAGAAATTGAATGTATTGTAATTGAGAGTTGTAGCCTCAAGCTACATTGTGAGATTAATGGCCTCAAGCCATTGCTATCCTACTTCCATTAATCAATGAAATACTCAAGCTTTCCTCTTAATTAGTTCATAGTTCTCTTTTGCGTTAACTATTACAACCACTAGTCCATAACAAATTGGTATTAGAGCGGTGTTACTGGTGGTGGTCTAGCGTCGGAAAACACCCACTTGAACCTCTAATTATTATTAAAAAATTGTAATTGAGAGTTGTAGCCTTAAGCTACATTGTGAGATTAATGGCCTCAATGATGTGGTTCTAAGGCATTAATATTGTTATTTTAATTATATTTGTGTTATTTTTAATTTTATTATTAGGTGACCGAATTTATTAGGATATTTTTGTTAGTTTAATTCGGTTAGTAGAAGATAGCTTGACTTTAAAAATTATATTTGCAAAATATTATCTATACAAGTTAGGATAAGTTTCCTAGTTAGATTAGATTTTGTTCTACACTAATTATTTAATACGTGGTTAAGAATTAATAAAAATCAGATTTGAGTTTTGATTATCATATGAAAAACGTGAGCTTAGCTTGTGTTTATGGTTTGTTAAACCTTGCCGTTGTGTTAAACTTTGATTCTTGAACCAAGCCTTCAAGTATTGACTCTCGACCGAGCCTTAGGAGTTCTATGTGTCACAAAAATTCTTTAACTCGTTTTTCCTTAAGAAAAACGAATACATTCAACCATAATCGTATAATAAACTTAATAAAATCCAATAAAGGTTTCAAAATTGTTTCTTTTATTCAAGAAACTCAAAATAGCTGCGTAAATATGCATCACTCAAGCCATTGCTATCCTACTTCCATTAATCAATGAAATACTCAAGCTTTCCTCTTAATTATTTCATAGTTCTCTTTGCATCAACTATTACAACCGCTAGTCCATAACAAATTGGTATTAGAGCAATGTTACTGGCGGTGGTCCGGCGCCAGAAACCACCCATCTGAACCTCTAATTATTATTAAAAAAATAAAAGGTTCAAATACTCACACAGAGTTGCGACACCATAGAGCAGAGGCTCGCAATTATAGAAGAGCAGTTGCAAGCTCGGGAAGAAACCATGAAGAAAACCATGGAGGAGGCTGTTTAAAAGCTCAACGGTCAAATCGTTTTTGCACTCAACAAGAACTAGAGAGGAGCCAAGAAAGAGCGAACCAGTTGAAGTTTGAAGAGGAGCTTTGTGCTCTCGTGGCTACAATACCCAGACCGCAAACCAGAGTTCCCAACGAAGACGAAGCCGAATGCTCTCAAGCAAGGGAGAATTCTACCAAGGAGGTGGTGGTGGAAATCACTGGAAGCACCACAAACTAGAGATGTCGGTGTTCCAGGGGACAGATCCGGATAATTGGATCTTGAGGGCGGAAATGTTCTTTGAGTTTTACCACTTGGATGAGAGAGAAAAACAGGAGGCAGCGGTGATAGCCATAGACGACCCGACACTTAAGTGGTATCAATAAGAGCAGAAACCTCGACCATTGATGGGGTGGACGGACCTTAAAAACCGGCTTTTGTACGAGTTCCGACCGTCGCATTCGGGAAATATGTAGTTGTGGCTAGCGTTAAGCCAAGAGGGGACGGTGGAAGAGTACCATCGACGAAACATTGAATTGGCCGCTCCGTTAACGGGTATCTCCAAGGACCTCATGCTCGGCCAGTTCATTAATGGCCTGAGAGGGGACCTTAATTCGGAACTCCGTATGTTGAATCCCACCACGTTGGAAAAGGCTAAGGAACTGGCTGCGAGAATTGAAGAGAAGAATAGAGTGTGTCTTAGAAGAAAGGGAGGAATGGGGTTAGCCAGAAATAGGCCGGCCCAAACAACCCAAACTTATAACTCTAATAGTGGGTTTAAAAGGGAGGTGGATTGTGCCTCGTACAAAAGTATGGGCTACCCAACCAGACGGCCCCAGCCGAACCTTGGACCCGGCATTTCGAGTCCCTAGGTTCCGTCAATATGGCTGGCACCGTACCCGGAACCACGACCAGCTCTGCTAGCTCACCCAAAACAACCATGACACGGAGGCTCACCGAAGCGGAACTCCAAGAACGACGACGAGCGAAGGGGTTGCGCTGTGATGAAAGATGGGGTGTAGGCCATCGATGTAAGTGAAAGGAGTTGAGTGTACTCTTGACCACCGGGGAAGATGAGGGCAAAGGAAGCGGAGCGTTCGGAGATGAAGTTACTGAAGAAGAAACGGAGGAGCCACCGGTGGAGGTGTCCCTATACTCCGTGGTCGAAAATTCCAACCTATAAACAATGAAGTTAAAGGGGGTGGTGAAAGGAGTGGAAGCGGTAGTGATGGTGAATCCCAGTGCGACACACAATTTTATCTCGATGAAGGTGGTGGAAGAAGCAAAAATTCCGATCACCCAAGGTGGTGAGTTTGGGGTATCCTTCGGAAACTGGGACACCATGAAGGGGAAGGGAGTGTGCCAAAGCGCACGAGTCAAGCTAACCGGCGGGTTGACGGTGGTAGAAGATTTTTTACCACTTAATTTGGGGAATGCGAATGTAATTCTCGGCATCAGTGGCTTAAGAAACTTGGGATGGTCACCACCAACTAGAAGACTCATGAAATGAGGTTCCAGGTGGCCGGCGTACCAGTGGTCCTCACCGGGCACCCGTCGTCATTGGAGAATACGCAAGTTGAGGGACAGGAGAAACCTTGTAAGTGTAAGGCCCTACCAATACGCTCATGTGCAAAAAGATGAGATTGAAAGGCTAATCTGGGAGATGTTTGAGGCCGGAATTATCAAGCCTTCGACGAGCCCTTTTGCAAGCCCGATTTTACTTGTAAAGAAGAAGGATGGGAGTTGGCGTTTTTGTGTTGACTATAGGGCCCTCAACAAGGAGACCGTGCCTGATAAGTATCCAATACCGTTTATCGACGAGCTACTGATAAATTTCACGAAGCTTCCATGTTCTCTAAGTTAAACTTAAAATTTGGCTACCATCAAATTCGGGACAAACACGAAGACACTCACCAGACGGCTTTCCGCACTCACAATGGGCATTATGAATTCTTGGTGATGCCCTTCGGTTTGACGGATGCCCCAGCGACTTTCCAGTCCCTCATGAACGACATTTTACGATCTTTCCTAATGCGGTTTGTGTTAGAGTTCTTTGATGACATCCTTGTGTATATTAGCAACGAAGAGGAACAACAAGAATCACTTGAGTAAAGTGTTGACCAAGTTGGCCGAACATTCCTTGAACGCCAACTTTAAAAAAAATGTGGCAAAGAAAGAGTGGATTACTTGGGCCATGTAATATCCAAACAAGGGGTGACAGGATGAAGACAAAGTCAAGGCTATTCCTGAATGTGCCAGCCCAAAGAACTTGAAGGAGTTAAGGAGCTTTCTTGGGCTGACTGGGTATTATAAAAAGTTTGTGGCCTAATATGCAGACATTGTTAGCCCATTGACTTCTCAATTGAAGAAAGACCCTTTAGGGTGGAATGAAGAGGCTAGCAAGGCTTTTCAACGGTTGAAGGTCGTCATGACTACGACACCGGTATTGGCGATGCCGAATTTTGAGAAACCTTTTGTTCTAGAAACCAATGCCTCCGGGTTCAGATTAGGGGTCGTTCTTATGCAAGAAGACCGACCCATAGCTTATTTTAGTAAGCTACTTGGAGTGCGAGGGCAAGGCAAATCGATCTACGAGAAAGAGTTGATGGTCGTATGTATGGCTATTGAGAAGTGGAAGCATTACTTAATGGGTAGACATTTCATCGTGAGGAGTGATCAACAAAGCCTACGATGTATCAAGCAACAACAAGAGGTCGGGGGTGAATATCAAAAGTGGATGAGGTAATTGGTGGCTTTGACTTTGAAGTGCAATACAAGCCCGGGGCCTCAAACTGAGTAGACGATGCACTGTCAAGAATGTGTCAACCTGAGGCCCAGCTCGCGGCCCTATCACACACTCCACTCGTTGATTGGGCTGAACTTGAGGAAGAATTCCAAGCAGATACATGGTTAAAGGAAATCAAATTGGGCCTTAAGTCCAATAAAGAAGGGCCTAGTGGGTTTACATTAGAAGGAAGAAGTGTGCTGTATAAGGAAGGGTTGTACTCCCTAAATCATCTCAATTTATTCCAATACTCTTTCATGAGTATCATAACACGCCGACTGCCAGCCACGGTGGGGAAGTCAAAACCTACCTTAGGTTGGCAATGGACTGGTTCTAGCCCAGAATACGTAAGATGGTTGGAGAATTCGTTCGTAGGTGTGAGGTACGCCAACGGAGTAAGGTTGTGCAACAACACCCCTTAGGGCTACTCCAGCCACTGCCGGTGCCCACGGCGGTGTGGGAGGATGTGTCAATGGATTTTACGAGGGGTTTCCAAATTCTAAGGGGGTGGACAGTGTATTGGTAGTTGTGGATCGATTCTCTAAATACAACCACTTTATCAGCCTCATACACCCATTCAACGCATTAAACGTGGCCGACCACTTCGTCAAGGAGGTAGTCCGACTGCACGGGTTCCCATCCTTGATAGTTTCGGATCGAGACCTGGTGTTTATGAGTGTGTTCTCGAAGGAATTGTTTTGCCTACAAGCTGCACAGTTGCTCCGAAGTATGGCCTACCATCCGCAAACCGATGGTCAGACGACCGAGATCGTTAACAAGGTCTTGGAGACTTACCTTCGATGTTTTGTGGCCGATCGGCCAAAAAGTTGAGCACAATAGCTTTCGTGGGCAGAATACTCCAATAATACGGCTCCTCATACGACCACTAAGTTGACAACAATCAAACATTGGTTGACACACTCGAAGTGACATTGGAGGAGAGGGATTTGGTTCCAGATGAGATGCGGCTCACTTTGTTAAAAGCTCAGAAGGTCATGAAGGAAAACACCGATAAAGAACGGCGTGACAATACATTCGAAGTTGGGTAGAGGATTTATCTCAAGCTTCAACCATATCGGCAGCGCTCCCTAGCCATGCGGCCGAATGAGAAACTAGCGGCCAGGAACGGCGTGACAGTACATTCGAAGTTGGGTAGAGGGTTTATCTCAAGCTTCAACCATATCGGCAGCGCTCCCTAGCCAGGCGGCCGAATGAGAAACTAGCTGCCAGGTTTTATGGGTCGTTTGCGATAGTGCGGAAGGTGGGGGTGGTGGCTTACAAATTGGATCTGCTGCTGGGGTGAAAAATTCACCCAGTATTCCATATTCCCAGCTCAGGGAAGCGATTGAGTCCGCTTTGACTAACCTGACAGTAAGACATGGAGTTAGTAGTTCGGTCGGAGGAAGTGTTAGAGGTGTGCTTCCAGTCCAAAGGTGCCAAGGTCAGCGTCGAGGTTCTCATCAAGTGGAAAAACCTTCCGGCATTTCCACCATCATTGAGCGTTTTCCGTCCTTCCACCTTGAGGACAAGATGAATCTTGAGTCGGCGAGTAATTTGATGAATCATACGGCCTAGCCCATACTATACCTCACCCCATACAAGTTTACACCCGAAGGCCCAAGGTTGGCAATCCACAAATCAAGGTTAACAATCTCCAAGTCATTGAGTTATGCTATGGTCAAGATGCGCAATTGAAGCACAAAGAACAACGGTAGCAAGAAAGGAGGAAGTTTGAGTCAACAACAACAAAGGGCAAGATGACAAAACTCATTAAGAAGGACTTGAGGAAAGCAAGCAACAAGCTTTCACAATGTCTAAGTATGGGTTTTCCATTTTAGCTGATTAGTCACATGAATCTATCCTTAGTCTTAGAAGTCTTGAGTATAAGTAAGTTAGTAAGTTTAGCAAATAGGATTATCCAGAAATTGAGTGTATTGTAATTGAGAGTTGTAGCCTCAAGTTACATTGTGAGATTAATGACCTCAAGCCATTGCTATCCTACTTCCATTAATCAATGAAATACTCAAGCTTTCCTCTTAATTAGTTCATAGTTCTCTTTGCATTAACTATTACAACTGCTAGTCCATAACACATTAGTTGCTGCCTATTTGGTAAGTTCTACACAGTTATGTGGATCTGAATTGGTCTGTTCATTGTTGGAGACATCCGGATCCCATCTTCCTGATGTTAAGAATGAAGATATTGTGCTCTCTTGTATACTACGCATTCTGCTGAATAATCTTCAGCCGAGTAATTGAAATCGCTTTTTACGGGAATTCTTGTTCATATAGTGGAGTTTTGGGAAGATTCGTCACGGATTGACTTTGAAACTATAACACAGGCCTAATCCCAGTATATTGTTTTATGATTTGGAGATTCTTACAGCAACAAGCATTGGTTCAGATGGTGATAGGTAAGGGTTATTAGTTCTTGTTTAATGGTAGTAATTTATTGAGGAAATTATTTGTTGAACTTCAAAGATACAAACCTGTAATATACTTATATGCAGACTAAACAAAGCATGAACAACTTTGTCTTATAGAGTTTTCAACTTTGTCATATGTTACTCTCTCCGTTCCTTTTTGTTTGTGTGAGGAGGGTGTGCCCATCGTAGGGGATCCTTCTCCTCTATGCCCATGGCCCTTTAAAAGCCTAGGACTTTACACTTTTTAGGGTGTGTTAGGATTTGAATTTCTGACTATTTGGGGGACCTTGAATTATAGTTGATTCTATCATTACGCTTTTTTGTAAGAAACTAATAAGGAGTCGCCAATAAGTTTTATGAAAAATCATAAACTTCGTTCATGCCTTTCTCCGAAGTAGAGTTCAAGAGATATTTAGCATGAATCATAAGTTTACCCATGCCCAAATTGGTCTACTTGTACCAAAAATGAGTTCGGGAGCGAGGGCACTAAAATAACGTTCCTTTTAGGGAGGAATCGCCATTCTATCCCAAGTGCGGCCTTTACTAGCTTTTCCATTTCCACAATTTCATTACTAAACAATATATGCAACGTGATACCTAAAACTAAGTTAGTTGATTTTACTTACACGCATTAATCACATAGGAATTACATTGAAAATATCGTTATTCTTATTTATTCAAATTCATGAAAGAACAAAATAAACAAGATTCGCCTTGTCTTAGGTGATAAAACAATCAATTAATTATTCAATTCTAGTCTTTAATTGACGCAGGAATACTATGTGATCTAATTAATTAATTAAAAGTTATTTTAAAGTGATCAAACAACACTAATTAGTCAATTAAAAGTTGTTTAAACAAGAAAAGAAAAGGTGATTTATCTAAGTGCTCGGGAATTTACCACTTTTCCTTGCTAGATCTTCGCTTAGAACACTTATGGACTCCTTCTTGTTCGGGAACCTCCACCGTAAGAACAAATAATAAAAAGGGTGAGTGTTTAGGACAAGAGGGATGATTAGAACATAAGTTCACAAAGTTTCTGCTGACTTTAGGGTTAATATCACCTCTATTTATAAGGAATGGGTGAGTTTAGGGTTTTGAACATTCTGCCGCAGCAGGTGGCGCGCGCATCTCAGAAGCTCGCGCGCGGCTACTGCGCACAAGTGATTAGGTTGCGTTGCTGAAGGCAGCGTAACTTATTGTCTTGCGCGTGGCTTTATGGTAAGATTCGATTTAGTATTTTCATAAAATTCTGGATCTTTCGCAAGCGCACCCTGGAGGTTACGCTGTTGTCACGCGCAACCTTGCGGGTTGCGCGCGCCAAGCGAGCGCGACTCCTTGAGTTGCGCGCGTATTTTCTTGCGGTAACCTCGGATTTTAACCTGGGCGCCTCTAAATCCGACAAAATTAGGTTTAATCTCGGGTTTAGGCCTAATTACTTATCAGGCTTAGTTTTAGTTAGCTTTGGTTCATTTTGTATTGGGTCAAGGTAGCTGTTTTATGTGTTTAAGTCTTAATCAGCAGTCCATAAGTATCCTTCACGTTGATCCAACTCAAAGATGGTTTTATTTATCGTCATAGCACTTCCGGTCGGGACAGGGGACTAAAAGTAGATGTCTATAGTTTGCTTCACTATTTACATTTATTTATCCCCTTTTGGTCTCCTTTCGATTTTTGGATAACGTACAATCTTCTCAGTTTACCTTTCTTTGCTTTACTTAATCTCTTTTCACCTTACTTCACTCTTTCGTCTTTGAGTTTATTAAGTTTATTTCTTGATCTCTAGGCTCTATCTACCTTCACCATGCTTCCCTTCCATATTGGAATTGTACTTTTTCTCTCATTTTTAGATACCTTTCTCTCTTCTCGTTCAAGCAGTATTGTCAAGTTGGATTGGTAAATTTTCTATTTTTTTAGAGTGAGATTCACATATCCACACAAAAATCGACATCAAATTTTGCTACCAAAACATTGATTCTCATATCTTCAGAGGTACATGGTAACAGATGATGATTAACATAATATAGTTAAAATTACCGACTGAAAACCATCCATGAATTTTTTTTTATACTTTCAAAAGTTCCTAATTAGGGTGCTTTTGGTAAGGAATATTTTAATCACTCATTTAACAAAAATGATAAATATGAGTTTATTATACATTTTCACTCTTTTTGCTTAGTCTCTCGTTAATATTAAGTTGTAAAACACACTTTAAGTGGTCGTTTGATTAACATATGAAGGAAAAATTCTCATAAAATTCAATTTTATGAAAATTAAATTTTGTATAATCAAATTCATAGGAATTTCCTAAACCTATTTGATTAGCAATAGGGAGAGTAACTCTCTACATTAATTTCTATTTTGGCAAAGATTAGGTACATAAATTCCTACATATTATAAATAATGAAAATTCCTATGTAGTGCTACTCAAAATAAATTCAATCAAACAGCTCAGATAACTTAAGACTCCCTAAAATTTATATATTTCAATTTACTAGGGATTTCAATGTGCACATTATGGCCAACCCTTTGAGAAAAATTATTATTGGTGACCTTTATATCCTATGCATTTTTGCGTACACTAGTTGTGGACCCGCGCGCGATGCACGCGGTTCCTCAAGTTATCAATGTATATTCTCGACTGATTCTGTTATCGGTGTTGTTTCTCTAGTGATTTTTTGACGTTTTATCATCCATCAAGATTTGTGGTTCCCCAAGTTATCAATGTATTATTTTGACTGAATTTGTTATCGGTGTTGTTTCTCAAGTGATTTTTTTTACGCTTTTATAAAATATGGTACGTAAGGAAAAATAAAATGGAAATGAGGTTCACAGACAAGTTTTGTCAAAGCAACCTAACCAATGTCGAGCATCTTCACCTCCAGATATTCAACCAGTAAAGAAGTTGAATAATTAGATAAACAGCCACAAAACATGGAGATGCCAAATATCTTTACTACCAAGATTATCAAATTCTAGCAAGCCACTATCCAAGCCTCCTAAGTGACACTATTAGCACATTGTGATATACTTATAGTAATTTTTACCTGTCTCTTTTTTTTTTTTATCCTTTTTTTTTCCTTTTTTTGACAATCAAGAAAACAAAACAGACTACACCCTTCCTAGCTGCTATAGCTAGTTCATGGGCCTCTTTTACTTTGAGTCTACTGACTTTTACAATTACAAAATTATCAAAATTTTTGACAGCCTGTTTAATATAAAGCTTAACTGCTTTATCTCCCTCTTTGCTTTGCTGTTGTCAGTAAAAACCTTCACCAAATCGCTTGAGTCTGTGAGCATAGTGACTTTCCTCCCTGTAAGGTTTGAATTTTTTATTGCCATAAGAGCAGCCATGGCTTCAGTTTGGAGCGGGGTAGAGGCGAACACAGGGGCTTTCCCTCTGTCAATCACTACACCTTTTTCTTTACTAATCCATCCTACAACAGCTTTCCAAGTATTCATCGAAGGTAGATCGTTCCTCTTCCGGGCACCATCAATAATCACAGTGATATGATCCTGACTTGTTCCACTTGAGTTGTCACCATCTGTACTATGCTCATTGCTTTCACCATCTGTAGAATCTGCAGTTATTGGTGTCAATCTTGCTGTTAGGAGATTGCCATTGATCCATATGTTCTTCCAATGTTGGGCAGTGTAGATTATGTTGAGTGGATTACACTGTTTGTTGTTGAAGGTAGCTTTATTTCTTGTGAGCCAAATGCTTCAGAGAACACTCACAAAGTCCATAACACTATCTTCTTTGTTGCTGTCCAGAGAAAAGAAGAGATGAAGTTCTGAATCCAAACCCTGATTTTGAGCTCTATGCCATTGTGCTGCATTTCCATACTCTTCTAGAGATTTCGCAATCTCTAAAAATATGCTCCCGCGATTCATCTTCAAAGTGACATAACCTGCATACATTATAAGCATTAATTCCCCTTTTCATTAGATTATTAGCAGTAGGGAGTGCATTATTAATTTTTTACCAGTCAATGATAACAATTTTAACTCTTACAACATCATCCACTCTTAATACATCCCTGACATAGTGACATCTTGAACATAATCCCATAAAACTTCCGAAACTTGTATTAAGCCAGTAAAATGATATTTTCCTGCATAATATAAGTTGTATACATCCAGATGCCAAAAAATACGGTAAAAAAACAATCACAGTAACAAAAGGCTCAAGCATATATATACCATCAGGGAAGCGCAGATTGAGAAAGGCTCCATAGTCCTCAACTCTTACCTCAAAGATATTCCCTTCTTCGATTTTCTCAGAGTACCAAATTGTGTCTTAATACTGCATCCTCTTGGTAATTTGAACTAACCCCTTTGGCCTGTTAGATGACTTGAAGGCATCCTGTGTCTTCCTTACCTCTCCACGAAAGGGTAATTACAGACAGCTAATTCCACTTGCTTATGATTGATGACAAACCTTGAAAAATTGGGGTATATGGTTTTGTTCTTGCTGTTGATGTTTGCCTAGTACTCTTCTCTTCTCCTTCCATTCTCTCTTTCTCTTAATTCAGTAATTTAGAAAAGAGTTTACCGAACATACAAGGTTGTATTGGCGTTTCCACTTATATATAGGCAATATAGTATGAAAATTAAGCTACCAAATTATTTATTCCATCACATCATGGAATAGTATTTTTATTTACTTTTATGGTTTATGATATTTATATATAGTTTCTACATCAGCCCATATAATTTGCAAAAAGTTTACAAAGCCACATACACCTTCTGCCCACTAATTCAAGAGTTATTTTACGTGATTGTTAGTGCGTTGAGCCTTCACATAAGATTCAATCAAACATATTGATCCAATCTCCTTACACAGGTAAAGATATAACTTCTCCCAGAAAAGGGGGGGAAAGTAGTAGTAAAGATTTAGCATGGTTTGAGAACAGGGATAAGAATGAAATAGCAGTGTTTCAGCAAGATAACATAACCAAATAGCTTTTTTTTGTAAAGCACCAAATAGCTAATCTTACTGGACTTCACCTACAATTACCGAGCAAAGAAGGTAGAGATCCTCCCCTTTTTTCTAAAAAACTATATGGCACCAAAGGCTATTCAGGGGTTACTTCCATAAATATCGCACCCTTGATATTGTTTAGGTTTATTCTAATTGCTTCCAATAATGTATGGAGGAGAAGTAACACAACCACCTAAAAATCACTTATAACATTTTTAGTTCAAGGAAACAACCAAATTGCAAATTAGATTAACCTTGTAGATCGACACAGTCGTCAATCATAACAGAGCAAAACAGATAGATAGGTTTGTACGTCTGGCTATCATACTTTGCACCAGTATGAGTTGATCATGCATAGTACCACACTTGAATCAGTTGCGGGTTTTGCAAGATTTAAGCTTTGTATATTCTTAATTATCTTTCTTTAATCCCACTATACTACTCCCTCCGTTTCACATTAGTTGCAACAGTAAGCTTGGCTCATAGTTTAAGAAAATTATAGACTAGGCTTGTAGTCTTATAATATAAAGTATTGTTAGTAAGAGATAGAAATTATAAAAAAAAAGTAGTGTGGGTAGGGTTAGTAGGAAAGAGAAATAATAAAATATTTGTGGAAATGGGTCAGTGGGAGAGATAAATTATAAAAAAAATGGTGGGTCCTTTACAAATTTAATAGTGTTGCAACTGATATGAAACGGTCGAAAATGAAAAGTGTTGCAACTAATATGAAACGGTTGAAAATGAAAAGTGTTGCAACTAATGCGAAACGGAGGGAATAACATAGTAACACAACATTGTTTAAACACTCTATCATTCATTAAATTTGGTACAATATCAATCATTTTCGGTTATACTGACTCCTTAATTTTATAATCCATATCAAAGAAATATCAAATAAGATAAATTCCGTCAAATGATGCATTAGTACTAAATTACGGTTCCTATCTGATAAAACCCAGCTTATTAAATTAATAAAAAAAACAACATTAACAAATCAGCTTTCTCGTTCACTTACTTCTCTCAAAATAATATATGTATCAAGATATGCTGACAAAATAATTTCTTTGCATATATGCTAAAGAGGTTAGAATACAGATCGTTATAATTTTAGCATCCTTACGATAAAAACTGATAAATTCTAATATCATCAACCTGCAAACTAATCCTTACCAGGGGAGGAAAAAAAAAAGAAAACTTACACATCAATTCAGTCAACTAAATCATATATGTAAAATTTGATAGGCTGACGATTGCAACTTGCTATTTGCCAATGTCCTGCACCAATCAATCACGAGAAATGTCAGAAACTACTTTTTTACCATCTAACCTGTATATTAAGCAGAATATATATGATTACCTAGTTCAAGTAGAAGAATTTTAAGTTATGCCTGCTAATTTAAGAACTGCATAGGACACTAAATTCTTAACTGCGGTCTCTGAATACTGGGATGGTGGCATTGTAGAAATAACAGTGACCTTTGCAGATGTTCGTGCACAAGAAAGTGCCACATATAACTGTCCATGTGAAAAACAAGGGCGCGGAAGATAAATTGATACTTGATCTAGTGTTTGCCCTTGTGCCTTGTTTATTGTCATAGCAAAACTGAACTTTAATGGAAACTGATTCCTCTGAAATTTGAAAGGATATTTCATAGACGGTGAAGGCTGAAACTTGATCCGAGGGATAAAGACACGTTCTCCTTGATAGTGGTCCAATTGCAATTTCACATTCTATCAGATTTGGGTAAAATCTTTTACATATAAGTCGCGTGCCATTGCATAGACCAGAAGAAGGAAGTAGGTTCCGTAACAATATTACCGGACAATCTTGTTTAAGTACAAGTTCATGAGGGCTCATACCTGCTGGACATAATGTGTTTATGAATTCCATTGGATAAACATTGCAATAGTCATCAAGAAGTACATCATAACTCTTGTACACAACTGGTTGTCCTGGAAATTTTTCTATGACAAATGAATTAATTGTATCAACATCATCATTTACTGGTGTAACACTGCCTTTTTTGTAGAGATCGCGGGATCTAGCTCATTTGTGTGTGACTCTGGAAAAGATGATTCTATTAATTCAATGATTGGATTTTCATCAACAGCAAAAGGCCTTGCTATTTGTTCTGGCAAATTTATAAATTCACTGTCTGTGGATTGCAGCTGACCATTACCCAAAGCAAGTAAGAAAGCTGAAAAGGCAGGATCTTCTCTAGCTCTTAGACTTTCGGTTAGCTTAAATCTGATCAGCTTAGGCCATAGATATGAACTAACAATGCTTGCTTCAACAGCCTCTTTCTGTGATTTTTTTGGGACCACAGGCAACACTTGCCGAAAATCTAAAAACAATCACCTTCCCTCCAAATAGAGTGTTGTCACCACATATATTCCGAAGCAATAAATCTAAATATTACAGATTAGATTTGACAGTCATTGATGTCTCATCCCATATGATCATTGTTGTTTCTTTAATTAACGCTGCTAGGCTACTCTGCTTTGATACACTACATGTCAACATGGATTCATTATCAATAGGAATCTTGAATCTTGAATGAGCTGTTCGACCTGACGGAATGTTTGCTGCAGCGATACCTGATGTAGCTGTTGGTAAAACAATCTTATTCATAAGACGAATTTCAGCGTAAAGAGCATTGTATAAAAATGTCTTTCCGGTTCCACAAGGACCATCTATGAAAAAAGCACCAGGTTTTTCTTCAATAACATGTTGCATAATACACTGAAAAGCTTCTTTTTGAGTTGTATTTAAACAACTACGAGTGTCAATACACTCTTGGAGAATAGGTGCTTCTAACGCATCTAAGATGTCCTTGGTTATACGAATCTCATTATCATTCATTTTGTTTAGTTCTCCAGGCCACATCCTTCAAGCGATTTCCCCATGGCTTCTAGATGCTGCTCAATTGATCTGATAGTGAGCTGCTTAATTTTACTTTCCGAACAAGGATATTGCCGAACAAAATCTTCTGATAAAGAAGGTAATATTTTTGCCATAGAGCAGAAGGATTGCTTGGATGACAAAAGATAAGAATTGTTGCAAAAAGACGGCGTAAGGCCATGAGTAGCTGCACTTCACATGGTTCAGACAAACACACATTTGCTGCATCTTCTTCTTCTAAAAGGCCTAGTTTGTAGGCGGCTTCCTGGAAACTTGCACAAACATGGCCCCCAACTGTACGAAGATCATCGAAAGACCAGGGACTTCTTACATTCAACAATTGCAGTCTTAAGAAGAAGCATTCATCTTCCACTGGAGATACAAATGCCATACGGCCTATCACAATTTTTTTAGTCTTCTTTCTCTTGAACCATGCTTTGGTAGAGGTATCCCACCTGTAATGCTCACAAAATTCTACATATAAATAACCCATGCCATTCTCAGTAGCAGCATTCATGGTAAAAAAAAACTCATTCAATGGAGTCCGAGCTCGGTATCCCATTGCCACAACCATATCTAAAGGCTCGTATGGGTGCACACATACCATTTGCCTATTAGGCAGATGCACTGGGAGAAGTAGTACATGAGGGTGCATTTCATATAAATCAAAACAAAAAATTCTCCATGCTGCCTCACACGAAGATACCCACCTGCCTAACTGGTACTGTGTAATTTCATCAGTTGCTTATCTGCCATCTGGTTTTATAGTAAAGGACACTTTATCATGGCCCTTGTATACATACTTATATAGATACTTTACTGCTTTTATGGTGGAGTAAACCTCTACATTAAGATGACAGTCAAAAAGTGTCGAAAGATATGGGTTGTATGGGACTACCCATTGATTATTCAGCTCAGCATTTCTGATCTTTACTTTTTCTCCCGTATCTGTTCTACGATAGCAAGGATAACCGTCTTCGTTGGTAGTGGTTTGATCAACAAATGGCTTTGGATAGCTACTTTTGCATACCAATTCACCTCCTTTCTTCTGCATACAAGAACATTGTGGATTCATTCGACCACAAGGCCCATGCATCATGTGCTTTAATACAATCCTACGCAATGTAGGATTACTTAATGGAGGAATTTCTGCAGAAACATACTTGTCATAATCAGCTGGACTTTTCAATTTGAACTCCGGCTTCAGAATCAATAAAATATGAGCATGAGGTAGCCCCCTTTTCTGGAATTCCAAATACCTACCTCACCAAATACCTTAATCTCCATAATCTACTTCTTCAGAGCTAATAATTTTGCTCTGAATACCCGAGCTACTAAATCTGGTCTCTCATGTGCGATTTCCCCAAGGGTAAGCTCTGCTTTAATCTCTGGCCAACTTGCATTACACGTCATTGTGCTAAATAATCCGGCTTCCCAAATCTGTGAACCAGAGCCATGGCATTGTAGTAACGCCTTTTCAAATCCCTTGGACCACCAAGGAATGTAGGCGGTAAAACAAATCTATGGCCAACATTTGCTGGATTAATCTCTCCAGCTTCAACTGTATCTAGTATGCCTTGATATAGATTAGCTCTAATACTATCTTGATGTCGAAGGAAAAAATCAAGCCTCGTATTTTCAATCTTCACATACATGTCTACAATGTACTGGAGAAATGCTGTTCCTGCCCTTAAAAGCATGTAGTTCGGTTTGATCTGCAACTTATATGCATAATATTCTCTTGGCGAAACAAATTTATAAGCCTTTGTATGTCTACCAGATGCATCTATATAATAAATATAAGCATGGTAATGGTAAGATATGAAATCCTTAGACAGCAGTAACATGGAGCAAAGTATGATTATCTAAACCCTTTCATCTTTAATTCACTTTAAAAAAAATTAAAAAAGGGCTTACGTGTAGCTTCTTGAGCAAGCAAATCTTCTACATTGTGCACAGCACAAGACTGAACAGGGTCAACCTCGGTATCAGCTTGCCTATGTCCACCGTGAGACATTTTCTTCAGCCCTTGATTCCATTCTCCCCGTGGAAAAAGCAAAGGATATTGTAGTGGATAATAACAACCGTAATAATGCTGAATTCTATGAGAGTCAGCTGATTTACCTGATACAAGAATATGTGGGCCTAAACTTTCACTTGAAGAAGTTTTATTAGGCCAAATCACAGCAACTTCATCACAAGCTGGGGCATTATATACTTGTTGATCAAGCACGGTATTTTGATTTATGACAATCTTAGTATCTTCATTTACTTCTACTTATTTCTAAGATCGAAAAAATCTAGCATAAGAATTATCTTTAGACGTTCATTAAAATGTCTGTGACTTCTTGTCAATTCAGGAAAACATCCTAAACGATTCTCAGTCTCATTCTGGCCATCATAAAAATAAAGTTGTAGATACTTAGGGTTACTATCAGCGGGCAAAAGATCAGGGACAAAATGATATAGTTGTCCATGCAATTTAAACACATAAATGCCCTTATATGTATCAGCATCAAAATTCCCTCCTATAGTGCTGAAGGCAAATAGGTTATTATATAACCTTGCATACTTTCTAAAATGCATAGCAATTTCTTCTTGCGAAGGTAAATGCCTTATAAGTTCAAAAGGTATTCATTTGCTGCAATTCGAACATCACCATTTCCACAACAAAAATGCAAAGACTCATAAGCAAATTTCTTAGCATTGCACTTGGAACAATATTGTGGGTCAGGCATTGTAAAAGCTTAGAGGGTAGAGGTTGCCCAACTGTAGCAGGCTAGCAGCTGGAGCTCCTGATATTAATAAAACGAATCCAAAAGGAAAAAGCAACCTCAATAAAAAAAAAGGCTTTGAATAAGACTAACATAAGTTAGAATTAGCCTAAACTTTGGTGCTTTCTGGCCACCTACTACTGATGTGTATTAAACTTCAGTTTTGCCAGCAATATTTATGGGCTTTCTTCAATTCTTCTGCCTTATTTTATTTTTTCCACTTAGTTTTACTTCAAACTAGTGGTTTAAATTTTCAATAGTACTTAACTATTGTGAGAGCAACTCAAGAAACTGTACTAAAGCATTTAAATATACAAATTTCTCACATTACATCTAACAATATATGTGATCGGAAGCTACCCTAACATGCCCATGTCTACACAAAGCATTTAACAACAATTCAAACACATCAATTTCCAAAGTAATAAAAAACAAAAAAGCATTCAAATGAATAGCATTTTATATGTTACCTAACGAGCATAATCTCTAATCCAAACCCCTAAATTTTCAGCGGAAACTAAATCAGACCCATCATCCCTCTAAATCTTATTCATCATTGTCATCAAGACCCACTTAAATGCAAGGATATTTACCATTGAATTAAAGAGACGAAGAGGGTTATTTACCCAATTATTTTCAGCTACTCGTCGCCGATGATCAAAACTACTGCAGCAAGCTAGCCTAGCGAATTCACCACCCCTACACCACCACAAGCACCCCCTTTAGCTCAAGTGCCCACTTACAGATTATTAATGGACTTAATATTGCAGGAGAAGAAACAATTAGTTGACGACAACATGAGCAAGGAAGAAAATGGAGAAGAGAGAATTAGATGATACTATGATTGAAGGCTGGCCCCTTGTAAGTTTTATTTTTGTGTGTAAAGTTAGCATTCTAGATTGTAGTTTAGTGGTTGAGCGCTCTAAAATAAGCATAAATACTCCATCCGTGTTTTAATAGAGTGCATCTCTGCGCATAGTTAACTCTGCAGTGCTACATTATAATGTACAATTATATATGTATAATGTACCATTAAAGTATAATTTGTCTTAATAGTACTTTTTGTGTACTATTATGCATGTAGTTGTATTTTTTGCCATCTTATAGGTTGAATATTTTCCCTTAAAATACTTAGACCATTCTCAGCAGTGAGGAGAAAAAAACCCTCTCAATCTCTCTCTACCCACTTTCTCACTCTTCCCATACAATTTCTCTCATTAAATGTTTTTTTCACCACAGCAATGAGGAGAAAAAAAACCTCTCATCACTTTTTTTTTTTTTTTTTTTTTTTTTCTGATTCAATGAAATGCTTAAAAGAAACCACCCAACCAATGCATGGTAGTGGGCCCTCAACCAATGCATGGGACGCGTGTCATCGAATGGAGGAAGCTGCATGCATTTTGGCTGAGCTTAATCAGGACATGCGTACAGTAGTGGGCCCTCCTCCTCCCACTATTCATCTTCAAAAACAACAAAAGCAGTGGGGGCCACATGTTACTGTTCATCACCAAAAGCCCTAAACTCTTGAGGGTTTTTATTTTCACTCATCGGTGAGTGTTTTTTTCACTCACTGATGTAGTGTTCGGATTTTTTTTTTACACCCTTATTTTTACTCGTGAGGGCTTTTCTCCTCACTGCTGGAGTGCTCTTAACACCTGTCACCTATTATGCATGTAGTGGTACATTTTTTCATCTTATACGTTTGCTAACAAATAGCAGTTACGCGCTAAGGGTTAACCGTTTTAATAAATGTTACAGTTTGACTTTGTCACTATTCACGTAGTGGTTTTGACTTGATTAATTTACTAAAATATAAAAAGTAAATGTTATTGTATGATACATTGTTGGATTCATTATAATGTATACTTTCATAATATCAATTTTTCTATAATTTTACTAATATATAATTAGATAAATCAATGGTCAAAGTCGTGTCTTGACATGCGTGTTTGGTCATACTGTAACACTTATTAAAACACGGAGAGAGTATAGGTTAAGGATTTTTAACTATTTACATATAGGTGATAAATGTGTTGGGAGTTGCGTAGCTTTACAATGTTTGAACAGTTGTATGATGTGCATAACAATAAATAATTAGATAAAATTGCTCCTAGGAAAATTATTCATCATGTAAAAATCTATATAAATAAAAAGAATAAAGCAAGTTTAGGAGAGAAAATTCCCTCCAAAAAAGATTTTGCTCTAGTATAGAGTAATAGATTAAATATTGTTTAAATTCCAAATAGGAAAAACAAAAGGGAATAGAAAAAAAGTAAAAGTTGGCTTTAAATATTGAATAAACAAAACTTTTTATTTAGAAGTAATTAAACAATTTAGGGAATTAAGAGACAATTTTAAACTTTGAAAATCAAATGAGAGCAAATATGTAAAGGAACATTTTTTAGGGATATAAATTAATGTCCAAAAAATTTTTTAAAACTTTTTATAAGGTAGGAATTTAAGGCATACGGCAGATACCACTGATATATGATGGACTACCACAACTTTGAATGGATTTTAAGAGCATTTATACAAGCAACACCATTAATAAATATTGGCACCATCAAAATACTTTGTAATTATCAAAAAAATAATCCAGACCATTTCGAAAGGATTTTAAGGAGCATTTATATAACATCATTATGAAACATTGGACACCACAAAAAAATTAAACCTCAAATTGTCTATTATAGTATCCTTTGTTTTTACATGCAGATCTAATCAGAGGATTTAAAGTCAAGCGAAAATGATTAAAAAATCAAAATACGAGTTTCTCGCCTGATGGTCATATTGGATGATGAGGTATTATATCTTTATAAATCATTTACATTTATTAAATTTTTTAATAAATCTTTTTAGTTCATGTGATTTAGGTAGCTTAATCAAGTCATTAAATTAACTTGATTTTTTATTTTTAATTAGGGTGATCACATTCATGCCTCAATTAAAGCCAACTTTGTTCAACAATTTCGTTCAAAATTGATTGAAGGGAAATTTTACTCCATTAGATACTTTTCAGTTGTTATGAATATGAAGCAATATCGCACGCGTTGTCAGCGACAATAAAATAATGAATAGCATTTTATATGTGATCGGAAGCTGCCCTAACATGCCCATGTCTACACAAAGCATTTAACAACAATTCAAACACATCAATTTCCAAAGTAATAAAAAACAAAAAAGCAAACTCAAATGAATAGCATTTTATATGTTACCTAACGAGCATAATGTCTAATCCAAACCCCTAAATTTTCAGCGGAAACTAAATCAAACCCATCATCCCTCTAAATCTTATTCATCATTGTCATCAAGACCCACTTAAATGCAAGGATATTTACCATTGAATTAAAGAGACGAAGAGGGTTATTTACCCAATTATTTTCAGCTACTCGTCGCTGATGGTATTATTGGATGAGGAGGTATTATATTTTTATAAATCGTTTAATTTATTAAATTTTTTAATAAACCTTTTTAGTTCATGTGATTTAGGTAGCTTAATCAAGTCAATAAATTAACTTGATTTTTATTTTTAATTACGGTGATTACATTCATGCCTCAATTAAAGCCAACTTTGTTTAACAATTTCGTTCAAAATTGATTGAAGGAAAATTTTCCTCCATTAGATACTTTTCAGTTGTTATGAATATGAAGCAATATCGCACGCGTTGTTAGTGACAACAAAATAATGATTCAATTTTCCAAAATACTATTGTTCGTGCGATTGGAGACGATGAAAAAATTTCAATGCATAGATTTGATTTTATACAATTACAATTTTTAGATCATTCACTTTTATTAGAGGGAAGAGATATGGGTGTGAACAAAGTTTGTGATTCTATCGAAATAGAAGATAAATAGTATACATGTTTTGTTGCATACGTTTATGTATATATATTTTTTAATTTTCTTATCAAGATATTTATTAAGGGATAAAAAATTATCCTTAACAAACAATAGCAAATTAATCAAAAATATTATGAGTATGACTAATTATAAAAGATATGTTTTGTGTGACTTTATGTATAAAAAACCGTGGAAAATTAGGATTTAAATTATTAAAAAAATAAAAATTATCTTGTAAAATTAATGGTTTTATCTAATATCCGATTTATAAGATGTTTTTTTCATAAAAATAAATTAAATCAACAAAAAACTTTACCTTCTAGAAACATTTATGTGAAATTTATGTCAAAAAATTTGAATAGACAAATAATTTGTTAGTGATCAAGAGATCACAAGAAATATACAAAATGATATATAGATTTGAGAGCTTAATTTCAAGTGCAAAAAACAACATATAATGATCTGAAATATATTTACAATTTTTTTTTATTTTGAAAGATATCATATTATTGTCATATCTATTAACTATTACTAAAACAAAACATTGCTGACATTATCAACTTTTAAAGTATCCTACGTGTCATCTTTATGTATGATGTCATTAAACAATTTTTTTTAAATCTACAATGTTTATTTTTCAAACAAAAATTTATTGCCACTCTTTTTTATTACATAAATGAAAAAAAAAACTATTTTTTTATGCATAATAATAAAACGATTTAAATCGTGCAACGCACGAGTCTAATCTAGTTACTAACAATAACAAATAAAATATAAAACAATAATAAATAAAGTCGCATTATAAATTACATTTTAAAAAATTATACTTTTGTAATAGCCAATAACATTTTAACTTAAAGTCTATAAGAAAATACTTTTGTTCATATTTATGTAAGAAAAATCGTGTATCGCAAGGGCTTTTATCTAGTATAATATATTCGTAGTTTTACGTAATTTGTTAATTTTAATAATTTTTATATATAATTTGTTTCATGTTAATTGAAGTCACTAATAAAAAAAATTAGGAAGGGGTTAATGAGATAAAAAGTGATACGCTCAAAGCTTACATTAGTTGCTGCCTATTTGGTAAGTTCTACACAGTTATGTGGATCTGAATTGGGTGGTTTGTTGCTGGAGTCAATCCCCTATATCAATGCTGAAATACAAATCCAAGACTCCGATTTGCTCCAATGTATAAAAATTATTTCTCAATTGAAATAAGGTTTTGCGATCGAATGTTTTACATGCGACCGGATAATTGCAGGCCCATAATCTAACCTGTCGCAACCATTTACATGCCTATTGCCATAGTAATTAAAATATTAACAGCAATTATATGCGCATCAATTCACATCCCAAAAAGAATAGATTAACAGACCAGTTGTTATCAGACTACACTGGAGCGATTAGTTCCAGTACATGAGATCGTGCTTCGTTGAAATCAAAGAGCAAGTCTTCACATAACAGCCACGACCGCTCAAAGTTGATATCTTCATGTTGTGCACACCACAAACACACATCAGTAACAATGAATCCGTAAGAACCGCAAATATATTTTCAAGCAACCTTTAACTTACCAGCTTAAGTTAAAAACCTCTCCGAATTTCTCTTTATCGCAGCTAACATATGGATTTCACAACTGAATCTGAAAATGTACCAGATTTACAGTATTGATCAAATGGATACGAAGTCAAAGCGGAAAAAATCAAATGGATATGAAGTACTAAAGTAATATTGACTCGGAAATTCATGCACTGACACCTCACCCTGGTGATCCATACTCAAAGAAGTTCTCACACACCCATTTATGGTACCTGTTTCCCATTTATGATCCAACAACGTAAATACTTCATCTATTGCAGAAGCCTGCAAAAGTCAACTTATGTTATGTAATTGAAATGAAGATTCTGTTAAAGTATAAACAGCCAATGTATTAATTCCATGATAGTCACATCAACTGAATGTACACCAGCCACATCCGACGTTGAAATAGAGTCTATCACTAAAATTTCTCCCCGATTTAAAGAAAATGCTATACACCACCAATGATGATCCTTAAGAACAGGAGCAAACACCTACAAGGAAAGATATGTAAGATAAACAAAGACAAATTAATGAAAAGCTATATAAAAATTCAATGTCAGACCTCACATAGGTTAACAAGTTGTGAAACAAAAAAGAAAATAAATAAAATCGATTTTTGTTAATTTTGCTGGTAATAAAGCTAGAGGAATTAACAAAAAGTGAAAGAAATTAGAAGATTTAACTGACCATAAGGCTATCAGCTAAATACACATTAGACTCTGAGTTGATATGTGATCTGTCACCTGGTCACCCAATACCCATCATCAAATAGCACAAATCTAGATTACTGCGAAATGCTTCTCAATTCACTCTTGTTCAGATCATTCAAATTCTACTCTTAGTAGCTAATCATCGCTAAATGGATCATGAATCAAAAAGTCTGGAAGATTTTCAAGAAGATTAATAACAACCTATGTTAGTTTTTCCATATTTTGTTATGGGTGTTTTGAATAATTTGTTCATTTTTCTGTTTGTTATGTTATTACTCCAAAAAAAGACCTGTGAAATTATGTAAAATGGGTTACATGGGTTATGCTATCACATGGGTGTGAGGGGGAAAAAAAGAATAATACTTGTAGCAAAATGGACATGTTCTCATATTTAGGAATGTAAGATTGAAATGGATTAGATGTCTGCTTACAACATTAATCCTATTTGGTGAAGTGCCAACCATTTGCTGCGTATAAGTGCATGTCGCCTTTTCCAAGTCAGAGCTAGATTTTCTTTGCAATACACGAATCTGTCAAGCCATTTTCAAATGTTCAATCAAATCAGATAACACTGCACATTAACCGTATACAAAACTACACCACTACATTCAAATCATACCGCAAAAGCCGGATCCATCATATAACGCTTGCTCCGACCTTCAAACTGTGAACTCCACACTTACTCGTACATTTTTCCAGCGACACGAGAGTACTATAGACAAAAGAGACCATGATTTTCATCATCAGATACTTCCGGACTACGTGGAGTCCTTGGATTTCTGCTTTCAGTGTTCAAATTCGCATTATTCTCGCTTTCCAGCCTCTCTCTCTTTCTCAACCCTCTCACTGTCTTCCTTTTGCATCTTCTCTCTCTCAACCCTCTCTTTCTCCTCCTTCTGCATCCTCTCCCTCTCAACCCTCTCTCTCTCTCTTCCTTCTGCATCCTCTCTCTCTCTCTCTCAACCCTCTCACTCCCCTCCTTTTGCACCTCTCTCTATCAACCCTCTTACTCGATCTCCTCATTTTGCAACTTCTCTATCTCAACCCTCTTACTCTCCTCCTTTTGCAACCTCTCTCCCTACCCTCTCACTCTCCTCAATTTGTAGCCCCTCTCTCTCTCTCAACCCTTTCACTCTCCACCTTTTGCGTCTCTATCTCTCTTTTCTCCTCCTTTTGCCTCTCTATCTCTCTTTGTCTTTGCTCCTCATCAAGCCTTTCTATCTTTCTTTGTCTTTGCTGCTCCTCAAATATGTCTCTCTTTCTTTGCTCCTCAACCCTTTCTCTCTCTCTTTGCTCCTTAACCCTTTCTCTTTCTCTTTGCACCTGCTCAAGCTTTCTCTCTCTCTTTGCTCCTGCTCAAGCCTTACTCTTTCTCTCACATCATGTTCATCAATCATGATAGGAGTCCCAACTGAAACATTCTGAAAATAATAACATCCAACAAATTACCAGAAGGACCTTCACCTACATCATACATCAAAAATACATCAACCCTCTCACTTATAAATGTCATGAACAAGCAACAAAAATACACAAAATTAAATTCATAGTCAGTAACAATATTATCAAGGTCACAATAATATCAAGAAGAATTACATTACACATCCCAGAATTTCAACTATTTTACCTGCTGCCTTTTTCCTAGAGTAACCATAATCTTGACGCCTGAAACGTTTTCCCCCTTCGTTGCTGCAACTTCATTCTCAACATCTTCTTGCACATTAGCATTTACAGCTGTCATAAATGCTTGCATAGTCTGTACACATTCACAAGGGAGCCCATTACAAATCATTCAGGGAGAAAATAAAAATATTTGAAATACGTACTATAACCCAAATCACACACCTCATGAACAATACGTGCTGATCTCTTCACTAGCATAACATTTGGTACATTCATTTCATGGGGACAGCCATATGCAACTTTCACAGTCTAAAAACAACAGGTAAAACATGTCAGTAAAAGATCTAACAACCTATATTTATTCACTGAAATATTCCTGCCAGAACACTCACTCCCAATTTGCCAAAATCCCCTTTTTTTTTATAACGATCTTCCTTCTTCGCCATGTTCAACTCCTTGTCGGTCCATACTTTTATTTTGTAAAAACACACCCCATTTCACAGGGGTTCTTCTCAAACAATCAGATACATGATCTGCCATACTCATTCTCAAAATTAATACTCCACACCAATGAATTAAACAGATAATAAAAACAACAATATGTGAACAATCTATACTTACACAAAGAAATATAGTGCAACCTCCACAACCTTTGGCAAAACCACAAGGGTAAAACCTCCAAGCAAAACTTGCTATAGTCTGCATAAGTTGCTCAATCACAAGGGTATAGCGTACACCAGTCATAGTTCACCGCATCATCAGCTGCAATTGCCGCCGGTAATAAGTTGAGCACAACCTATGACATGTCGTAGGACATAGTATGTCAGTAAAGGCAAGCAACAAGAATGCTATCTTAAAATCTCCCACGCCCTCCGCGCGTCGCCGCTGCACTACTAGAAAATCAGTCTTTAGTATCAGAAATTAATCGATACTAAAAGGTTGTTTTCCAATACCAAAGGTCATTAGTATCAGAAATAATTACCGACACTAAACCAATACTAGTACCTTTATGGCTAATGTATTGGTATCGGTTCTTCAAAACGATATTAAATGGGGTACCTTTAGTATCAGAAATAATTACCGACACTAAACCGATACTAGTACCTCTGTGGCTGATGTATTGGTATCGGTTCTTCAAAACGATATTAAATGGGGTACTTTTAGTATCAGAAATATTACTAGTATCGGATAATTAGTAACAAAATTTTTTATCCAAATATCATATCATGTGGTATCAAAAATCTTCTGTAACTATATATGTATATGGTGTCGGAAATAATTGATACTAAAGGGTGAGTTAGATCTTTAGTATCAGATTGGATTCTGATATTAAACAATCACTACAGTGTCTGTAATTACTGTTACAATAGTTTTTCCTAGCTTCAAGAAGTCCCTTTAATATTGGAAATTTCCGATACTAAAGATAGACTTCAAAACAACAAAACTACTCTAGTATTGGAACGTTCAAATACTAGAGAGTCTTTAGTATCAATGTCTCTAATATTGTTATTAACCAAAGAACCCTGTGCAACTAATTTATATATGATTCAAAATTAAATACATAATTAAAATACTTATACAAAAAGAATTTTATTTTATATCTATAAAATATCTATACTGTCTCATAATGTAGTTAATAGTACAAAAGTCAAGATTTTTTAATCAAGGTCCAAAGGTGAACAAAATGAATCTACTACTTTAACTCAATTGTTCAGACCGTTTCTTTATTTTATAATTTATAAGTTGCAAAGTTAATACCAATTGAAACCCATACCTTTCATATCTACACAACCCATTTCTCAGTCAAGATATGATTAGTGAATTGTCAAGGTTACTAAAAATCCCTCCACAACTTCACTAAGAGTAAGCACAAACCTAATCTAAAGATATCTAAATGAACAAATCCAATCATCTACAAAGCTATACAACTAATGTACTAGTGAGTTACAGAACAAAAAGTTGTGCACAACCCAGCCAACATGCCTTCTTTAAAGCATTTTATTAAGTAAATAAGGACTCACAAATACTGAAACCAAATTATCTCCAACATTGACATGTTATCAGATAAACAGAGCATAAGCTTCAAGATTGGCAGGTTATCAAACAAATAGATGCACAAGACGCTTTGATGGCTTTTCTAGACAACTTTATACATCTCAGGGTCAACTTGACTTGCCTAAATCAAAGCCAAAATGTAATGATAAATGATTAAATTCCTTATGATATCTAACAAATGATGAGTGAATAATACATGATTACAAGGATTATACAATTAAGTTATCTTGTATCCTTTTAAAAGTGATTTAGACTGTGAGTATGATTACACTTCACAAAGAGGTCAAACAATGACAAACGTGCAAATTTCAAACCATCGTTTACCATTTAAAAACTCAGATATGTTACCTAAGTACATAACAAGAAATAAATTCAAAGGCACAACAAAAATAAGCAGTCCAAAGTCTCTAAACCAGTAACTTTAACCAAGTACCCAATTATTTTTTCAAAAAAAATAAAATAAAAAAATACACAATTACATGAATGCTTTATATTATATCAAACAAATTGCCATTAAATAAGATGAATAAGTAATATTGTATACCTCAATACCAAGGCTTAACCAATATAAAGTCATTAGCAGGTCAAATCATATACCTTCAAATATAAGGTTGTTCGTTCTTTAATTTCTCTCCTTCATTTTGCTCGTTCCTCCTACTCTATCTCCTTAAAGTAAATCCATTTGATCCCCTCCCCTATTTTTTTCAATAATAATCAAACATCTGCACCAAAATTTTATAAAAAAAATATTAAACATCCAAAACATATATAGGAAACAGGTAGATAACTAAGTACCAAAATTTAAAGAAATTATCTATTTCATGGGACATTGAAGTTTGAGGCAAACCAATAGATAATAGAAATGATTAATTAAGTTTAACACACCTCAAACTTTTTAGAATGAACATATTATTAGACTTGCAATGGCCCCAAACTATATTAAGCAAAAAATACGCATCTCTGATAATACAACGTATTTTTCATTAAGATTCATCCAACCTGCGGCAAAATTGAAGCTTAAAACAGCAAAAACAAAGAAGTGTTTTCACATTTCTAGCAATAATAATTAATTAATTTACTCAATTTTATCGTTTCCAAAATCCAAATTCAAATCTAAATCTAAACTCAAATAGATTAAAAATTCTTCATTGAATCCTTATTTCACAGCTCTAACAATAACCAAAACCCATAAAATTGTTCAATTTTTTCAATGTTAAGCTATGATAAATCGAAATTTTCAACAGAGTTTTGTTTCCCTTAACGATGGAATTAATCAAGAAACTCTAAATGCCTAATTTACGAATCTCTTCATATATTTATATAAGTTAACCATTTCAGACCAAATAGGTTAAAAGTAAAGAGAATTCTAAGTAGATTAGTGAGTTAAACTTACCAAATTCCACCGGTGAATATTAGTTTAGATTTTGGTAGAAACTGAATAGCAAACCCCATTCGATGCGTAGAAATTGAGTAATAATGAGCTGCAATTGCTATTTTTTCAGAAAATGAGAAATAATTAAACTTCGAGCGTAATGAGTAATTCGTGAATTTGAGCAAATTGGGTTTTGTTGTAAACCCTAGCTTCGTGAAATGGAGGGAGGAGAGATAATAGTGCTCAACTGCTCATACTACCAAGGTGAAATTTTAGAAATGAGGTAGTATTTCAAATTTTAATTTCCCGAAAATTTTAATGTACAGCCCGCGCCAAATTTGTAAATTTTTCATTAGATGTATTAATGGGTTTTAGAACCGGTTCACTTCACCTTATTTTTGCTCAATTAAAATTATTTTAACTAAACTAAAATTATTTTTGTTGAACATAAATTATTTTTACCGAATTGAAATTCAACAACAAAAGTCATACTCCTGTATACAATGACCTCAAGAAACGCACATTTCAGCCTACAAGACACTACTATGTATGGGAAGTGTGGGTGTTTGTGTTTGGGGTTGAGGTTGAGGCTCATTGATTTCTAACGACTTTTTAGTCCAAATTCACACAAAAGTCGTACTATAATCCAAACATGCTCAATAATCCAAATACTTTGCATAAAAGTATGAAATAGAGTAATAAAGTAGCGAAGTAAAGAGTTACACATACCACAAAAATGGTGCTCAATCACTCCAAATTGGCCCAAGAACACCTCTTTCAACTAAGCTTCAAGATTGCAAAAATGGTGGATTTTGGGGTTTTAGGAGAGAGAAAGTATGAATTTTGAGGAAATAATGGATGGAGAAAGTGATGGATTTGGTGAAAATTCAAAGGAAAATGAACTTAAATTATTTTTACTGATTTTCAATTATATTTCTTCTTTATAGTTACTAAATTTTACTAAATTGAAATTATTTTTATTGAACTAAATTTATTTTTATTGAAATGAAATTATTATTTACTAAATTGATTTTATTTTTACTTAATATTATTTTTTTAAGGTGGAGTGAACAGGACCTTAGTATCGGAATAATTTGTTAATATAGGTGTCTGTTTGTAATGTTCTAAAAAAAAGGGTGTCTATTTGTAACAAAGTTAATTTCGATAGTAAAATATCTATTAGTATCGGAATATTTGTGATACTACTATGTCATTAGTATCAGATAAAAATATTTCCAACAGTAAAATCTAGTATTGAGATTGCGTCAAAACCCAAGAAGTAGTGTAAAAAAAAAAACCTTGTTCTTTACTGGCTTTTTTTCATCTTGTTCATTTTATTCATTTTCTGCATTTGCTAAGGTCTGAGCTTTGATATGATGTTTGTTATGGTTGTGTTTTCCAGATTGTGGGGGGCTCAAGCTTTGAGGGATGCTTTTAGGAAGTACTACTTCATCAATTAAGCTTTGTGGGACATGAGTTGTTTAACATTGTAGAGCACTAGGACTTTTAAGCAATTAATTGATTTTGTAGCCATGAAGCTTGTGCATACAATTTTATTGTTATTGGCTTAGTATATTATATGTAGCATATTAACTATTCAAAATTATGATTAATGACAATTAGATATTATATTAAATTCCTTCTTTTTAAATTAAACAAAATAAAAAACAAAGAGGGCGAGTTTAAATGTTGCCCTTTTAAATTTTGAACAAAGAGGGCGAAATTTGAACAAGAAGGGCGAATATGTTTATTTAAGTTGTATCTTATAGGGCGATGAAATGTATTTGCCCTCTTTGACTCTGATCAAAGAAGGCGAAATTTATTGCCTTCTTTGACTTTGATCAAAGAGGATGAAATGTATTTTGCCCTCTTTGATTCTGATCAAAGAGGGCTATATTAATTGTCTTATGTGGTTCTAATCAAAGAGGGCGAAATTTATTGCCTTCTTTGATCTTTAACAAATTAAGAGGACGAAAGATTGTAGTTGCCCTTTGAAGGTAATAGGGCAACTTGGGGGCGATACTAAAATCGCCCTCTTTTCTTATTAGGGCGAAATTCACACCTAAGAAATCGCCCTCTTAGATCTTATATCTTGTAGTGTTAAAATGTTCATTTTAACAACAATGGATTCTCAAATCAAAAAGCAACACTCTATCTATAAGCTGTCATTTCGATACCGGATATGATGTTACTTGTTTATTTTAAATCCCTATAAAATTACTAACAAATCCTTGACATGTATTGATGTGTTTAATATTAGAACATGGAAGACTCTCACTCTCTTTGTTATTTACATTTTAAAGTTTTTGGAATAAGTCCATATACATAAACACCTCAAAATTAAAGATCGTGCTAAATTTCGGAATTCAGAAATCATATTATACCCATATTATTTAGGGAAATTCTCATTGATAACCATGTCAAATTACACATTCTCAGTGGTAACAAATTTGGGAAATTCTGATTAGTAGCCATAAAGAATTGTACATTCTCAATGGTAACAATTTTTTTTCAAAATCTCTAATATAGCATTAGTAATTTAATTGTTCTCTAATATAGAATTATTTTACTAAATTTGACCTAATTAACCTAAAATGACTAACCAGGGTTAAATAACTTAAAATTAACTAAACTACCCCTTTCTAATTGAGTAAATGCAAAGCCCCACCCCCCCCCCCAATTGATTATTCAATCAACACATTTGAACTTCTGCTCCTCCATTGAGTTGCGACGAGTGCTGAAGCATCGGACATCAATCAACGATTTTCAGTCGAAATCTCTCAAAGGTGCTAAATTTCGACTCTTGCAAGGTATTTCATCCTTTCTTAACCCTAAATTTCATATTATTTTGAATTTTTATGGATTGTTGTTATAAATGCCCTGTTTTTTTAACGGGTGACTGTGGTTGAACTATCGGGGGATTAATGTACTAAATTTTTGGGTCTTTCACGAAATAATTTTTTAGGGTAGTAGAATTTTTCAAGAATGCCTGTGGTTTTGTTGACAAATTCTTATCTCTTTTTTAGGGTATTCGAATTTTTTCACTGAATGTTGCAAGTAATTATTAAATGTGTTAAATTGTGACCGTGCTTAATTGGGTTTGAATTCAACTTTGTAGTTTTGTTTTTTAAGGTATTTAATATTTTTGTTAGTTGTACTGAGATATGTATTTTTCTATATAAATGCCGACTGGGTGATGAAATTGTGTTAAAGCTTCAATTTAAAAGTAGTGATGTTGATGTAGTTGTAGAAGAAATTGATTAGATAAGCTAAGCCTTGCTTATTGATGTGATAGTTGATTACAAGGATAATGCTGTTAAAAATAATGGTATTAAAATGCCTAAATTCCCTACCTTTAGATATGTTTATAAGATGTAATACCACTACCTGGCCTTAATAATGATAAGGACTTAATGAATATATTCATTAACTTGGCTGGTAAGAGTATGATACACATATGGGTGTATGATGAGGATAGTCCAAGTCAGATATTTAGAGATGCTAAGGCTTTAGGGACAACTAGGAACAGATGAAAGGTGTGGCAAAATCAGTTGGTATCACAAATTCTAGTTATAGTGGAATTAAGAGGCATAATGATGTAACTGTGGTTCCTTGTATACCTAAATTAGATAGACCCTCAAAGTTTACACCTAGGTGAAGCAAAATGTTAGTATCTAAGGCAACTCGTGTTGAATCTAATGATGTAGACTTGGATGCAATGGGTGATTTGACTCAAACTAGAGGTTCTATTAAAACTAAAGAGGGTGTGAGAACAAGAGGAGGGAGAGGTATGGGAAGAGGTGAAGGTACATGGGGGAGTATTGGGCGGTAGAGTGGATCGAACTGAGGAGGAAGGAGGTGCTGGGGAAGACTTGGATTCATCTAGTGATTTATCTTAAATAGGAGGTACTAGAGAGAAGGAGAGGAGGAAGGGGCCAAGGAAGAGGGAGAGGTAGAGGAGGGACAAGAAAAGGGTTTGAATATTGGTTGGGACTTAAGTTTGGATCAGGAGTTTCATTAATACCTAAAGTTGCCATAGGGTCTTCTGAACCTATTGTTGAGCTTGAAACTCTAACATAGGTGTTAGAGTTTTTAGGAGGAGTCTAAGGAAGCATAAGCAGCCAGAACAAATAAAAATGGTAGATACTGAACATATTTCATCTTTATCTTCTAAAGCATTGGTGTTAAGGAAAAAGATGTTAAAAACAATTGCTAGGAGAAAAGGGTTGATGACTGCTAGTAGTTCAGTTTCACTCTTTGATGGTGGAACAATAGTTTCATTAGTACACCTTGATATTGATGATGATGAAGAAGATGATCCATAATTCAACTTCTCTTGCCAACACAATGACACAAGTGATGATGAAACTTTAGTTGGTGAAGATGATTTACGAGTGTTGTAGATGATATGGTTGTAATGGAAAACTATGATCCATATATATGTAGATGATGTGTGGGGATATGATGATATGCAAGATGATGGGGAAGGTGATTACTTTATAAAGTTGTACAAAAATGGAGAAATGTTTAACAAAGAGGAAGATGGGAGAATGGAATTAAGATCGACTAAGGAAACTATTTGTGATGACAAACAACATTTGAGAGGTGTGGTTGGGGACTAATGTATACAATGTGGGTTTTCTGTAGTTGTTGAAAGGCAAGCAGAAGGATGTTAGTGGAGGTTACATGCCTCAAGATTACCAAATGAGTTTACTTGGGCTATTAAGTCCATTAAAAATTAAATGTTGTGCATACATGCTTGGGTTTAGAGGTCAGAAACCCAATGGTGACTACAAAATGGGCAAGCATGGTTTTAATATAAGACATAAGGGCCAACAATAACATTTCTGGGAAGGCTTTGAATGATTTACTATGGAACAGGTACAATGTGTAGATGGCAACCAGTACACTGTATAGAGTTAGAGCAAAGGAATTAATAGAGATACATGGTGGCTGTGATGAATCCTATGCATTTTTACCTAGTTATTGTGACATAATAAGAAGAACTAACCCTGATTTTGATGATAGTTGTCTATGGAACCCTAAAACTCATGTTGATAGGCCGCCATTAGCATTTGTCACAATTTTCACTTCTTTTAAACCATATTTGGAGGGATTAAGGGATAAGATTAGGGGGTTAGTTGGAGTTGATATACACACTTGATAGGGAATTATGGGGGTGTTCTTCTATCTACTGCTGTACTAAATGGGAACAATGAGTTTGCTTGGGGAATAGTGTCCAATGAAGATTCGGACACATGGTGCTTCTTTGTGCATCATTTGAGAGACTTGATTAGATAACCAAGAAGAGGAGATGACTGGTGTATCATCTCAGATAGGCAAAAGGTTTGATTCTTAAACTTTTAACTTTTATTGTATTGTAAGTGTTCTGTATTACATTTTCGTTAGAGTAAACCTAATTCCTAACTGAACACGGAATTGAAATTGCACTTGATAATATATGGCCAAAAGCTGGTTGGAGATATTGCACCAAGCATTTAGCTAGAAACTAGAAGAAAGGATTTCCAAGACCACGTATGCTTTCTCTGTTTTTGGAAAGCATGTGGTGCCTACTCTGAGTTTACTTTTAAGAAAGCAATGGAGAAACTCGATAAAGTTGGAAAAGGAGGTAGACTGTGGCTTGCAAAGCTTAGGGATCAAGCTAGGTGGACAAAGCATAAGTTCAATGTTGCAACAATGTGTGACTCTAATAAGTCTAACTTTGTTGAGAGTTTTAATGCAACTCTTGGTATAGAGAGATGTAGACCTATCCTGACACTTTTAAAAGGTAAATTTGTTTGATGAAATTTGTTTTAATAAGGTAAATTTGTGTGTACTAGTTATGATAAAATGATTGAATTTTTGTGGTAGGTATTAAAAGAAATTCCATGGTCAGACTGGCTACAAGAAGGAAAAAGTGTGCGGAATGGCCTAGGACTGACTTATGCATGTCCAAACATTGTG